TATAACACAATTACTTTGTGGACACTTATATTATCAATATTGATTTATTTATGGTGAAGATTTTATTTGTGTTTTTTGCGCTGTTTATGTTTGGTTTTTTTTTTTTTTTTGATGGTGAAAGCCTATTTGGGAAAACCCTTGATAAATTTAGCAAGGAATCACTAGGGGAAAGGTGCTCACCCTACAAGAAGAAGCTTAAGTCTCCTACTACAGTTGCTATATTTACCCAGCAATAGACGTCTTTCCCTTCTCCCCAGTCCTCAATACAAGGATTCTTTTCATCCCAAACCCTGGACTTCTAAGTCCATCAAGCCGGCCCAGAAGCCACCATCACAGTGAAAGGGTGCCCCCACTCTGTTAGCATTTTTGCCAATATATACAGTATCTGAGACATCCTGGACCTCTGGCTCCAAACTGTCGTTTCAAAATGGTTCAGATTCAGTCTCGATCTCTGCCCCCCTTAGAAAAATGGTTTCAAGGCTTTTCCTTAGACCTATTCACAGTCCCTAAACCAAATGGGAGGCATCCACCCTATACTGAACTTGATGCCTCTCAACAAATTTCTTTGTGTACCAAAGTTTAGGATGGAATCAACAAGATCTGTCATTGCTTCTCTTGGCCACTGGGAATTTGTCATCTGTACACATGCAAGATGCCTATCTACACATCCCCATCTTTTTCTCACATCAGAAGTTTCAACACTGACCCTGAGTGGTAGTGTTATGCTTTGGTAGCACTGCCATCAGAGTCCGCAGAGCCCCCCCACCATCAGAGTCCAGAAAGCCACCTTACCTCAAAGTCCGTAAGGGACTGTAAGTGAAATATCAGTAGAATATGCAATGTAAAGGGAAACTCTGATTTAAGGGGGGCTCTGATGTAAGGGGAAATGCTGTGGACTCTGGTGTAAAGGGGAACCCTGATGTTGGGGAATCTCTGCTCACCAAAGCCCCCCCTTCATCAGATTCCACAGATCACCCCTTAACTATACATCGGAGTCCCTTTTACATTCTTGTACTAGGAGGCAGGGGAGGGAGGGAGGGGGAGACTTCACTCGCAGGATGGATGGATTGGCTCTCGGCACCTGTACTCTTCCTGCTGCTGGGCTTCAAACTTCCCTGGTTCTGCTCCTCTTCTTCCCTCCCTCTCCTATGTCTGCCCCCACCCACACATCTCCTTCTCTGAGACACTGCCAGGGAGTGTGGGCAGGGAAAACACAGGGAGAGAGGGCGGGAGGAGGAGGAGCAGAGCCAGCTCTCTCTCCTCTTCCATCTATGTAGGGGGAGGGAGGAGGGGGGAACTTTCAGCGCTGGCTCCAAGCTGCCTGTGAGAGAAAAAAACTCTCACCTCAGAGCCCTGCAGCCAGCAAGACCGTGGCACTGGGGAGACGCAGTATGGGCTCTTGGGCCTCCCACAGTGGCAGAACTCCACAGCCCATTCACAATTGCGACTTTTTTGACCCTGGTAGTACCGCCACTGGGGGCAACCGTAGCAAGTTTTTTGCCAATAACCAATCTCCTGGTGGTAACCTATATATAACCCATGGTCTGTGAATTCTAGTCATGTACTGTACTCGAAGATAGGAAATTTACAAGTATGTCAAAATTTAACACATAATGGTATTTAAGACAAAGTGAATGTTTGTGAAAGGAACATAATCTGTAAAATTATTGTAGACGCTGCAAAAATACTCTAAGTAAATTCTCATCTGATACATACAAAAAATGTATGCATTTTTCATCAAATAATTGATCAAGTTTCACAGATAGAGCCACCACGCTTTTTTTGTGAAAGCAATTTAGAGGCAATCTGTTAAATACTTTACATTTTTTATTTACAAGAAAGGGGAGCTTTCTAACCTTGACCAACCAATCCTATTACCACAGCAACTAGATTATCCCGTTCCTGTCCCTAGTGCAGTATGGGTAAAATAAAAAAATCTAATTTGTTGATACAGTATAAACATTAGTATTGACTCTTCTCTCATGCTCATTAAATTTTAGCAACTCTATAACAAAAATTATGTGCCCCCTGCAAAATAGACAAATACTGAACTCTCCAGCTGCCTGTGCCACCAAACTCTACAGTAATGAAGAGAAACCAGTTGTCCCTTTTGCCTATCCCTGCCTCACCACAGGACATGGGGGTGGCTTATTGAACCTCTGAGTGCTATAAACCTTGAATCCGTCACTCGCAGAAAGATATACATTTTTAGTCTTTATATGGCATATTATTGTAAAGTTTTATTTTAGCAACTGAGGAGCTTTAAAGTGGTATTGAACCCAAAAGCAAACATTTACTATATTGCAGCTTACCAATTCTTAGATGTGGAGGATGCTATTGTTTCCTTTTTAGGCTTTTTTTCCTTTATTTTCAACTGGTGATCTGGCCAGTAAGCCTGTTATTTTTCAACAGAACAAGCTCTCCTGCAAATGTATCAGAGTGTTGAAACAAACAATTTACCACTGACAGGGGTGCTAACAATGATCAACTTTTTTTATATCATGTAAAACCTTTATCTCAAACGAAAAAACCTGTTCCTGTAACTGCAGTGTGACCTGGAGTTTGGCTACAATTTGTTAGTGTATCTAAATCTGCTAGCCATTCTAACACTTCAATCCCCTCAGAGTGACAATGCTACTGTCCAAAGGTGCCTCTGCGCTCTTTCATCCAGAGTTGAAGAAGGAGGTGTGTTACTGGCCTTGCTATTTCCCATTATACTCATTGCTTCATTGCTTGGGGACATCACAGGGTCTATGAATATCAAGTCTGTGTCCTGTACAGTACGTTTTAATTAAAAAGCGTTTTGACTTGCCTGTAAATTTCATATCTTGGAGTACAGTACAAGACATTGGCCTTCCCTCTGTTCCTATGTTAAAGGGGGGGGGGGGGTCTTCAAAAGCTTTGCAACTGTTCAATCACCTGAAGGTACCAGCCCAATACCCAGGGTCTATGAATATTATGCCTCTGTCCTGTACTGTACCCCAAGATATGGAATTTAGAGTTAAGTCAAACTTCCTTTTTTCCTGTTTCTCTCCTTTCAGATTGACCTACAAAAGCCTTTAGCATTAGTTTGTTGTTTTTATTGATAATGAAGTATTTTGTAGGTTATAAAGTATGGAAAATATCCTATTATAAGTAAAGCGACTTCATATTTGCTTCAAAACAAGCACTCAAGCAAGATAGTAAAGAATCCATCTCCTGTTTTGAAGAAAGGTCACAACGCCCAGTACTCTTATGTCAAAAGCTCTGGTTATGGAAAGACTAGCACACCAGCAAAATCATTCACTACTGCTGATTCTCTTCAGTCAAAGTCGATACTTCAGAAAAATGAGAGGTCTCCTACTGTTAAGCAGCAAAAAGGTATTCCCTTTTTTTTTTTTATATCTTTTTTTTTTTTTTTTTTTTTTTTCCCCCCATTGTAATAACTAAAGTTTATGTAAAGGGTTAGTTTCTCTGCCATATTTATATTTCTCTTTGTCCCCACTGGAGAGATTTACCCTTCTATTTTTCCTATTGGTTTTACGGCCCCTCAGGAGGATCCAAAAGTTTCCCCATTCTGCCCCAAACTAGAATAATATTTTTGGCTGTAGTTCTACAGTTCTTCTATTAAAAGCTTCATAAAAGTTTTTTGTTTAGAGAGTTCTCAAATCCTACCTGTTTTTATTATTTTCTAGGAATATTATCTGCTACGAGAACAATAAGGTTTGCAGAAGACATTAGTTTTCAAGAAGACACAAAGACAAGTAGTACACAGCTACATAACCAGAGTGCCCAAGGTCATTTCGACTTTCAAATGGTAAATCTTCACAAGTAATAAATGGACTCTAAGCAAATTGGCTGAAATACATATATGAGCTTTTTTTTTTTTACCTGGCAAAGGATTTCTAATACTGTTCATCCAGTCTTGTGATTTATACAACACAGCTAAGTCTTGAAACGCCCTTCAGACTAAACAGCAGTTATGTAATACAGTCTGATCTAGGGCCCATCTGAGCCAGTGACAGGTTAATAAAGAAGCCGTAGTGCATTTGGGAGGCCATCCTCGTGCTTTGCTATCATGTTTATGGGGTTAAACTGACAGCACTTTAAAAAGTTTTAAAGCCCCAATTGGCTAAAAACACTGTGCTTCCCTAAGACAGAGTATTACTGTGAAGTTTCAGGAGGCTAACATTAAGACAAATTTAGTTAATTATATGTAAAAATAAATGTATTTTGTCTACATACCTGAATTTAGCAGTTTTTAATATGTATCTTAAGTTCAACTTTTAAGTTGCAGTAACACTACAGTTTAACTGAATTATTATAGTATATTGTATGATCATTTATTCCTTTTTATTTGTATTTCTTTTTTAGAGTCAGCCAACTGCATTGGGATAAAACATTACTTAATTAATGTGTAGCTCTGCAAAGCGTAGTGTGAATATATGAGCAAATATAGCGCCCCATGTACATATAAATTAAAAATGACATAGAATCATGTTTTTGAAATCTTGGTTTTTTTTAAAACATTGAGGACCACTTCACACTATACTGCACTGCAGCCTGCTACATTACTGCAACTTGTTTCTTTTGAATGTGCCCCGAGAGCGCTGATCAGGAGCCAATCTACAGACCTTTATAGGTCATGCCCCTTTGACAGAATCTGGCCGAGTTCTGTCGGACCAGCTGCTGTACACACAAGCCAAATGTCAGCTGGTTTCTATTAAACATCCCGTGTGTACTAGGCTTTAGTTATAAATAAATGATCTCAAACCACATACACCAACAGCTATTAAGTGCATTATAGTGTCACGCTACACATTTTAGCCAGGACTGCTCCTAATGGTAGCCAGCACAAATCTACAATGCATGAATGCATACATACGTAAATCAACTACTACTAGAGAAAGCACCAAAGAAGCATGTGTGAATGTTTACTTAGTTTATTCATGTAGAATTTGGTTAATTTACAGATTTGTGGGCCTGTTAGTTCTCCTTCTCATGAAGACACCTCAGAAAACATGTCTGCCACCCATCATTCCAATCCTATTGGAAGAGACCTGACTGTGCTTCAGAGGCTTCAGAATGTGGAAGAGAAATTAAACACTGAGCACAGACATACAGCCCCTCAGGAAGAATTTTCTCGAAAGCAGGAAGAATTTAAACTAGAGATACAAAGCATGAAGACAAAGTATGAGGAGAAAATTAAAGAGCTGAAACATGAAAATTATATGCTTGAAGCAAAGGTAATTTCTAGGTGATGCTGGAAAAGCTTTTAAAGGAAGCCTATACAGAGGGAAATCATAGAGGCTGCCATTTCTGTCCTGAAAATGTTGCCACTTGCCTGTCCTCTATATTGAGTCACTGATCTGAAAGAAGTATGCGGCAGATGAGTCAAGACTCTTCACCTATATACTTGCTCCAAGTCATTTACTCAGAAAGTAGTAAAGCCACTGGATCAGCAAGACATCCAGGAAACTAACAATTTTAGAAGGTCAACAGAAGCAGCCTATATTTTTCTCTCAAAACAGGATTCCTTTAAAGTCGAGCTCCAGACTTTATTTTTCTTTTTCAAAGTTTTGGATAAAGTGTAGTTAGTATGGAATCTCAGTTTTTATTGATATCTGTGTTACCATTGGCAAGCGTTTCCTTCACCTCGTGTTGTGGAAACAAGTTATATTGTAGGTATTCAGAATATCTACAAAAAAAAAAAAAGTAACAGATAATCATGTTAGTTGCATTATACACTTTCAATGTGTATTATTAAAATATCACCTCATAAATAAAATAAGGGTTACCTCTAGGAATGGTAATTGCACCCATGTTGTACCTTAAAAAATTCTTCATGAAAAATAGCTGTGTACTTTCTGGTATGTTAGGGTGCCTAGTTACTCCTGTGCATGCAGCCTCATTGTTATAAATCTGTATTGTAAGATATAAAACTTTGCTGCCACTGTCTGCTAGTCTCAGGACATTTGGAGTGAGATTTGGTGATGTCTTAACTGTGCTGCTCCATGTTCTACTTGCTGGAAGCTCTGACATGAGGGATCAAAGCCTTATCTTTACCAAGAACGCTGCCTTCGCACAGGAACACTATTTGCAATACAAGGTTTGGTACGTTGATAGTAATAAAAAGATCATCTGAGGGGAGCTATCTGCCTCTCTTTTATGGACACAGCTTTCAGAGTTCATTTCTTTTTCTTAAAGTCTATCTTATGAAAGTTTTTTTTTTTTTTTTTTTTTTTTTTTTTTTTTAAAGGCTAAGTTCACCTTATGGGAAAAAAATTTAAAATGCACATATATCTACAAAAAAAATGTGCGTTTTATTATTTTTTCCTGCAGGAGCCTTGAAAGTACCAATAATCAGTAGAGCATGTTACACATTACATCCCCTATGTGGGTGTAACGTATAATATGCTCCTAAAGGTGAACTTATCCTTTATTCATACAGTTTTGGACACAGGCTGGATATCTATAGATTCTGGGTTATAGGTCTCCCTTATGGAAAAGCTTCTATGGTTAACTAGATCTTATTTACTTTGAATTCTTCAATCAACTCTTCAATGCTTTGTACTGTAACAAAAGAATTGGAGCATCTGGATCAGTGCGACCTTGTTAGTACCTTGAGAACCATACTCCTAACCTATGCTGTGGGGACAGCCTGCAATGTTGTTTTGGGCATTGGATCCACTCACCTTGGCAGTGTAGTTCGCTGTAGGGTGTTATACAAGTCCAGGCCCGAGGTCCTTTCCTCTGCTTCCTAGACCATAAAGATGTGCAAAAACTGGAAAGTGAAAAATCTGGTGCAGCTGTGTATGGTAGCCAATCAGTTTCTAACTTCAGCTTGTTCAATTAAGCTTTGACAATAAAACCTGGAAGCTGATTGGTTTTCCTGCAGAGCTGCACCAAATGTTGCCGTCTCTAGTTTCAGTAAATCAACCCCTTAGTGTCTGTTGAATAGTATTCGTTTTTGCAATTAAATCTGTAAGGAAAGTGGAATTGTGTTTGACTTTATTCACTTATTGAGTGCTTAAACTTTGTCATCAGGGGGAACTAGGAGTCAGGGAGCCTTTCCAGCACTGTCTAACAATCTATGCTGTTTACATTCCAGAAGTAGACAAATGTAAGGCTGTTTTCCTCAGCCATCACTGTCTGGATCAAGGGGGATAATTGTTAATCTCGACCTCTTCAATCACCTGTTCTGAAAGGGGGGGGGGGGGGGGTCTCAAACAGGCCAGACCTGCTGTCTCAAAGCCACCTGTACCCTCTTGCTTCTCAGTCACTGGCTTTACTGGTATGCCCAGATCTAGAAGGACCAGGGGTAAATCTGGCTCTCTCATTTCCATGTTGCTCAAAGCTAGAAAAGCCACTTAGAAAAAACAATTACTACCTTACCTAGAGATCCTTTTTCGCCTGGTGTGAACACAGGCATTTCAACCCCAGAGACTGCTTACTAACTCATATTTTTTGTCTTTCCTGCAGTCCGGATTGGCCAAAATTTGGCTGAAAGTGCTGTTAAGGGGCAGGTTTCGGCCTTATCTATCCTATTCCAAAAACCTTGGTTTCATTCTCACTTTTGAAAAGCTTTATTCAAGGTGTCTCATGGAGTAGACCCCTATAAATCACCCCATGCTTCCTTGGGATTGCAATCTATTTATCTCTGCCTTGCAGAAAGCAACCTTTGAACAAATTAGGGAACTCCCCATGGGTGAGCTTTCCTGCAAAATGGCTTTCTTGATGGCTATCAAGTCTGTCAAGTTAGCCTCCCTCTGTTGTAAGCCGCCTTTCCTAATTCTTCACAGAGATAGAGTAGTCTTGCGTCCAAATCCTCCCTTTCTCCTTAAGGTGGTATCAGCCTTCCACTTTAATGAAAACTTTGTCCTTCCTTCCTTGTACTCTGCTCCTTAGCTTACCAAATAAATTACCCTTCATTGTTTGGACATAGAGGTATCAGAGTTTGTCAGAATCTGAAAGCCACAGCCTCTGTGTACTCAAAAGGATACATACCTCCAGTACCCTTATGTGCTCATTCCACCAGATTAGTATGGTTTTTTGAGCATTCCAACATCAAGCGTCAGTTGCTCAGCTTTCTCTGAGTTCACAAGAGTGGATGTCCAGGGCTCTATGAATGCAACTTTCAGCATCAAGGTTCATTTATTAGCACTTTGAGAGTTAGGTCCTTGACCCTCTCTGGTTTTTGCTTGGGCCTGTTGGCACACTTCTGTTTGCCTTGTTGTTCCCCACCCCTCTGATTCATTCATTAGGGTTTTCCCAGGGTATATTTGATGGATGAATGGTTGCTTCTCCATTCGCTGATTGAGACCCATGGGTCTTTCTGGTAGTTTTCTCCTCTTAGTGGTGTTATCTGCCCCCCCTGCCTGGTTGTGGCACTTCTTACAGATTTATTGATAATTTTTCATCTAGCCTTCTTTCAGATGTTGTTTCTTTCACGTACTCTTGCAGTATGATCTCTGCTTTGTTGGCTCTCTCTTTTTTTTAAATAACTGCAGTTTTTATAACCATCACACAGCTTTCCTGAAAGAGTTTTTTTTTTTTTTTTTTCCTTTAAAGTGGTCATTAATTGAATGTATTGGTAAAAAGAATTTCCCCTTTACACTGTGTGCACAGTTATTTGGCAAGTTGTATTTTTGAGGATTAATTTCATTATTTAACAACTACATTGCTCTTGGTCAATATTTGTCTTGGCCAAAATGTTAATAAACCTCAAACCTGAATATTTAAGAAAGTCAAAGTGAGGTTTTGGCTTTCTTAGCTCTTTGGAGAATATCTATGTGTGCACAATTATTGAGCAACTATTACTGCGCAGAATTATTATGCAACTAAATGAAAAATGAACATTTTCCCTTCTCACTTGTTCATTTTCATCTGTTAGTCCTCATGCACACTGGACGTTTTTACAGCTGTTGTTTTTGGCTTTTGGCGTTTTTTTCTACAGCCAGTAAACTCCCCAGCATGTTATCCTATGTGTCCATGCACACATAGACTGTAATCAGCGTTTTTTTGGCAGGGACGTTTTTTGGCTGGAAAAAAACCCCAGGACTAGTGGGTTTGTAGAGGAGTTTTTTAGCTGTAAAAATGCTCTAACGCTGAAAAACGTGGCAAACCAGCTTTTTTGGACTTTTTGAGCACAAAACAAATTTTTTTTTTGGTCAAAAAAAAATGCTAAAAAACACAAATGCTAAAAAATGTGGCTAAACACTAATGCAAAAACGCTGAAAAACTCACGTTTTTAATGTGACTTTACACAGCTAACGTTACCAGCGTTATTAAAACACCCAGTGTGCATGGAGCCTTAAAGTGAAAATAATAAACAAGCAGCTCAAAATTTACAATTTAAATAAATGGGGGCATGTCAAGCTTTCATCTTTAAGGCCTGTACTGGCCAAGCAGTGGAGTACTTCGATAAATATCATGCATAAATATCAAGGTTTTCTTGAAAGATGCAGACTTTTTCCTGCACCACTTTTTGAAGAAAGTGTCTTCTAAAAACTAGCAGTAGGTTTGTGAGTTGATTTTGAGTCCATCTTCAACCCAAAAAAGTCCAGCTAGCTCATCTTTAATATTACCAGCCCATACCAGTTTCCCCACTTTCACTTGCTGGCATCTGAATCGAAGTGGAGCTCTGTGCCTGTTACTGATCCAGCAATGGTCTCATCCATCTGGTCTGTCAAGAGTCACTCTCATCTCATCAGTCCATAGAACCTTTGAAAAATCTGTCTTCAGATATTTCTAGGCCCAGTCTTGACGCTTCAACGTATGTGTCTTGTTCAGTGGTGGTCAGGTTTCAGCCCTCCTTACCTTGGTCATGTTTCTGAGCACTGAACACCTTGTACTTCTGGGAACTCCAGGTAGATTGCAGTTCTGGAATATAACAGCACTGGAGGTTAATGGGTTCCTGGTAGCTTCACGTTTGATTCTTCTCAAATCTTAGGCAGTTAATTTGCATCTTTTTTCTCAATGTGTTTCTTGCGATCCTGTTGACTATGTGCAACAAAACATTTGATGGTTCTGTGATCATGCCCCAATATCTTAGCTTAGCAATTCTCTCTGCATCCCTCTGAAATTCAGACTTTTTTTTTTACATTTTTGAGTTTTCATAGTCAGTAAAATCTCTTTTTTGGTCCATTTTGCCTGAGGAAAAAAAAACTGCCTAATAATTATGCACACCTTGATATAGAGTGTTGATCTCCTAAGGCCACACCCTCCATCATTACACATACACATCACCTGATATGCTTAAATCCAATAAGCATTCAAGTTTAGACAGCTTGGAGTTGGTTAATCTGCATAAAAATTAAGATTTGTTCAAAATACTCGCCTAATAATATTTGTGCACACAGTGTGCATGGCTACGATGACAGAGGATTCTAATACATTCTTTTTTTGTTTCCCTAAATAGTGTGTATTCTAGTGAACCTTAGGAAAAGGATGGCTAAACCTTAGTTCTTGAACTGTCATGTAGTTGCTCTGAAATAAAGCTTAGAAATTTAACTTAAAGCAGAGTTCCAGCCGTTTTTGTGTTTATTAAAAGTCAGCAGCTACAAAAGCTGTAGCTGGTGACTTTTAATAAACACACACTTACCTGTCCCAGGGTCCAGCGATGTTCTCACCCGTGCCGTCCCTTCTCGGGGGCCGACATCTCAACTGTGGGCACAGGGCTGTGACAGCTTGTGGCTTCACAGCCTGGTGCCCACTGCACATGTGCGAGTCACACTGCGCCTCGTGAATGGTTCAGCAGTCTTCTGGGACCTGTGAAAGTCCCCACAAGAGTGCAGGAGGGAGCCGGAGTTCCGTCTCACTTCGCCGCAGTGAACTGAGCCGGAAGTGGGAGCGGATACCTGTTAAAACCAGGTACCCGCTCGCCCCCCCCCCCCAAAAGGTGCCAAATATGGCAGTGAAGGGGGGGAGGAGGCAAATAAGCGGAACTTCTACTTTTGAGTGGAACTCCGCTTTAAAGTGCAACTCACTGGATCAGTGGACTTTGCAGGAACACTCAATATTTTGAGAAAGCAATTGTATATCTTTTAAAAATTACATCACTATCTAATTAGTAGTGGTGCAGCGAAATAAAATTTCTGGTGCTGAAACCAATACCAAAAGTTCAGAATGTACGTAGCCAAAAACCGAACCAAAATGTCTGCTTATCTATTTTTTTCTACTTTTAGTTTGTGTGTATTATTATTTTTTTTTTTTTTACTTATGATCTTATTGCTATTACATAGGGGACCAATAGTCCCCTACATGATAGCATGTAAGTGACAGGTCCTATTTGTAGGGGGGAGGAGGTGGGGGGGAAGGGTGTGCAAGGAGGGGGCAGGAGATGAGCAGTGTATACAGAGAGGTACTATGTCATTGCTGGTTTTTAAATGTAATTACCGGATTTTTTTTCTTCACTATAGCTAAGAGAATGAGCTGTCACTTTCCCCTAAGCCAGGGGTAGGCAACCTGCGGCTCTCTAGCTGTTGTGGAACTACATTTCCCATGAGACATTGCAAATTGACAGTTACAGCTATGACTTGCAGAGGCATGAAGGAACTTGTAGTCCTGCAACAGCTGGAGAGCCGCAGGTTGCCTACCCCTGCCCTAAGCTAAAGTAAACTAAGGGGTGGGGTCACTGGCTAATGTCACTGGGTGACCCCACCCCTTTGTTTCTTTTAGATTGACAGCTCCTACTCTAAGCTATAGTAAAGGGGAAAAAAGCCGGTAATTAAATTTTAAAAATGGCATTGTTTTTAAATTCAATTGCTGGCTTTTTTTTCTTCACTATAGCTGTGAGAAGGAGCTGTTGCTTTCCCTGGAACTTAAAATAAACCCAGTGACATTACACAGTGACCCTGCCACTTAGTTTCCTCTAGCTCTGGGGAAAGTGACAGCTCATTCTGTGTGCTATAGTGGAAAAAAAAGCACAGGTAATTACTTTTAAAATCCGGCAATGATATATAGTGACAGCCAGTCACTGTATACGCTGCTCCTCTCCAGCCTTTCTCCGTCTCCCCCCCCCCACATCTACAGTACACGCAGTCCCGTGTATCGGAACCTGTATTTGAAGAAAGAAAGTGTATTGCAATTCACAGTAAACTTTGACTTGCTATGCCTGTCTTGTGCATACAACATGTTGTAAGCAGTATTTTACCAATATAGAGTAGATTTCCTTGTACACAGAAATGAGATCTGCTCAAAAGTAAGATTGTATTTTATTTATTTTGACCCTTTACAATATTTTATTTTAGTTGCATGCTGAAGAAGAGAAAATGAGGAGGAGGAGTCACCTGTTGGGTGACAAAAATAATCCTGCAACAGAGGATAAACTGCAAATCATAAAACAGGAAATAGAGGAACAGGAGACACTTCTAAAAGGTTATCAGCAGGTATGGTTTTGAAACATATCAGTGCATTTATTGGCATACCAATCAATGAAATGGGTATATGATAGTTGAAGGTACACTGATCTGAATCACAAATATAAGCCTCGGGACATGTACAAGAAACACCCTCTACCTGTTTGGTGCTTCTGCTTTCATCCAGGCATTGTTATAGTACACACATTGATCCCACTCAGTTTGTCTGCAGTCTGGTGATTTCGGAACACCTCTTAAATTTGCTTCTCACATACAGAGCCTAATTTTAAAACCAAATTGGCTGCACTAGCAAATGTATCACCACCTCCAATCAAATTCACACCTGCTTTGAAAGTTTGTGATTGGTGATGCTAGACACAAAGAGAAAATATATTCTACATGAGCACCTACCTGAGTACACACCCTTTCAGACCCTGGAGTTTTTTGTGTGCTGTGCATGCTGTGAACCATAGATAAAGATACATTGGGTACACTTTCTGATTTTTAGCACATAATGTCAATGATAGTGCTGCTCATTCTCACAGTGCTAATATGAATTGATACTTTAACCTAAATGAGAGCAATTACACTAGACATGGCTGACAGCTTAATGTAATATATTTATGTATTCATTACATAGATTTTTAAAAACTGATCTAAAGGGGGGTCCACCTTTTGAAAAATTTGTCTATAACAAGCTACATATTTTCTCAAAACCCTGTATTTAGCAAATACAAATACTGTATATTGCAGTAAGTTGTAGTGAGAGGAAGAGCACATAACATTTTTAGGAAGAAATTGTCACAAGTGTATTATATATAGTGAAATAACATAGTTGTCTGATCTGCAGATTCATATAAGCTTTACGTTGCTATTAAGATTGGTTTATCATCCGTTTTCTCCAGTTAAAGCAATTGTTTTAGTATAAACACTAATGTGCTGTGTTTTCCTTGGATAAAGCAAAAACACATAAGCCCTAAATAATATTATCGGAAATATTATTTAATTGGTCAAATTACAATAAACTGCTAAAAAATGAACCTTGTAGACAACTGTAAGCTACGTATTGGTATCAAAAGCATTTGTATCAGCCTTGCATTGACAGTAACTGGGTCAGTGTAAAGCTGTAAATGAGGTTAGGTGGGAAAGAGCATTTTACTTATATGGGGAAAGGCAGGAAATATTGTGGAGGTGGTTGCAGACAGCAGTCTCTTGGCTATTAAAAATTGGAAAGAAAAATCTTCAGCTGATTTGCCTTGGCAGGATTGGGCATTACATCAAAATACATAAAGTAGAACTAGGAATATAGTTACTCACAGGAGTCCCTTGAGTGCCCTGCTATATATGTCCAATTTTGGATTGGTTTTGATGTCCGTGCTCCTTTTGGAAACCATTTGATTTTAATGATGTGCTTTGGGGAGCTGACTTAGAAATGTTCCACTGAAGGACAAGTCAAACAGAAATGTTTATATGCTGAGAACTGTGCAACCTGTGCTGCTCTGAAAACCAGAATGATGTTCTGTAGCACATCTTTCCTGTTGCATGATTTTGCTAAAGTTGTGGTGTGCAAAAATAACATAAGATTCTCATTTTTTTTAATTTAGCCATGTTTTCTTATAAGGGTAACAACATAAGCCAGCAATACAAAGGCAAATCTCATAATAACCTCCAAAATTTGTTTATCCTAATGTGATAACTGAGCACTGCCATTTATCCAGCCACCAGCTATAGTGTTAAAAGGAAAGGGAAGTGATTGAATATTGGTGTTTTTTAGGAATATTTTAATGTTAGGTTCTTTCTTAATAGTTTATAGTAGATGCCACACACAGTAGATGTTTAGCTTATAAGTGTGTGGGTTCCCAAAGTTTAAACGCGGGAATGCCCATCAAGGTAAAACTATTTTGTGATCAGGATGCAAAATTTTTCCTTGTTTTCCAAACATGAACATATTTCTAATTTTAATATTATATGCATGTTTCATAGGAAAATGAAAGGCTGTATCAACAAGTCAAAGAACTCCAACTTAAAAACAAAGAGAATGAGGAACATATGTTTAAGGAAAACCAGGCACTCAAGGCAGATATAATTTCCTTAAGGTAAAAAATAGAAACCTATTTATTATTATTATTATTATTATTATTATTATTATTATTAATAATATTATTCAGGATTTATATAGCGCCAACAGTTTGCTCAGTGCTTTACAATATAACGGGAGACAATACAGCAACAATACAGTTCAATACAAGAGGGATAGGAGGGCCCTGCTCCTTGGAGCTTACAATCTAAGAGGGAGGTGCTAGTGGTACAAAAGGTAGTAACTGTGGGGGATGAACTGGTAGGAGGAGTAGAAGATTCCATTATTAGCTGAGGGCAGGATAGGCTTCCCTGAAGAGATAGGTTTTCAGAGATCGCCTAAAAGTGAGCAGAGTAGGCGATAGTCTGATAAATTGGGGTAAAGAGTTCCAAAGGATGGTGGAATCTCTGGAGAAGTCCTGGACATGAGCATGGGAGGAGGAGACAAGGGAGCTAGAGAGCAGGAGATCGTGCGAGGAGTGGAGAGTACGGTTTGGGTCATATTTGGAGACAAGATTGGTGATGTAATTTGGTGCAGTTATAAATGGCTTTATATGTTATTGTTAATGTTTTGAATTTTATCCGTTGGGCAATGGGAAGCCAGCAATCTCATGCATATTCCAATAAAATGTAATAACTGAAGTATACAATTAGAAAACATGAGGCATATTACCTAGGCAATCTGTTAAGCTGCATGGGGGGGCTCTAAAGTCATGAACCCTGAACCCTATTGCCGGACCCAAGATTATTTTCTAAAGGCAACAGAACTCAAGTTAGATAGGGCCTTGTTTGATGTTTTATGTCCCTGTCCTGTTAACTGGCTGTGGGCAGTGTGACTCTTCTAATAGTGGGAGTACGTCCTAACATTTCCTAGGTATAACTGAAAGAAGCTGGCTTCGTCAGTGCCATCAAACACTAGACTGAGAGCTGCAATACTGCTAATTTGCTGCTACGGACAATACATACAGAGGATGTGCATCTTGTAATGCCCAGTGACCTAAACTTCAGGCAAATCCATCTTCTGTAGTATAAACTGTGTCTGTGTGGAAGTCGCATTGTCGAGTCAGTGCCACTTTTGTCATTGTTTTCTATGGAGAGCTATCTACCATTCCGCTGCCTACATCTCCAAAAACTTTGTCCCATCCTATACATTTCTGCTCTCTGAACCTGTTATAAAGTTCCTAGATCCTTTTTTAACTCCCACCCAACCCCCCCACCCTCCAGAAAGAAAAATCCTCAACTCCTCTTGTTTCCTCCACTGGTCGCTGACTCCTGCTTCTGTTCTACAGTCTCTCTTTAAAAGTATAGAAAATACAACAATATACACACACAGCAAAATGCTGAACAGTCGAGACTAATATGCAGAGAAAAGCAGGAGTCTACCTCACTAGCATGCCAAAATTTACGTTAATGCCTGTTTGTGTCCCCGTCTGCTTTAATCCAAGGTCATAGAACTGACCATTGTTTTTTTTATTTTGTTAAGTAAAACAGTTTTCTGCTTCTCAAAAAGACCATTTTAGAGCTCAAGCTTTAAAACATAAAAAAGCTGTATTGTATGGGTCTATGTACATAGTTGTGTTTATATAAGGATTCATGAAGTCAAAATGAAAAAAAAATCTGCATTTGTAGTCATATGTGCGTAAATTTGAGCTAGTGAATGGAAGAAGGATTTTGCAGATTTGTATGTTTACATGCCTAAACACATAAACTGAAGCACTTACTGACTATTAGTTATGTTTTTTAAGCAGGGTCTTGCTACTATCAAGATCCCCCATAGCTATTACTAAAAATGAATAATGTACAGTACATATACACAACCCCTTATGTCTTTCAGACCATACATTTTTAGTATATTTGGAGGAACACTATTATAAATGCACAAGACAATTTTCAGTGTCTGGTCTAATTCCAAACAGCCCTTATAAAGAGTAACTATACTTTGCTTCATACATTCTACATAGGGTTTTCTACATCTGCATTCCACATCTTAAGCCTGGTACACCTACTGGGTTGTTTTTTTTTTTTTTGGTTTTTTTCTTCGTTCAACCCAACAGGCTGAACGAAAAAAAAAAATCAGAGATGGCTGTACTAACTAAACGATGTTGGAGCAGCAATCTGTCCCACTGTGCTGTTTGTGTTCTGTCAGACAGACTCCCTAACTCGACAGTAATCAGCGATTTGCAGCCATCGGATGCTGATTTTCCAGCATGTCTCTTTTGACAAAAGCTAGTCCTTAGACCGGCTCCTGTTGGAAGGACAGCTATACACACGGTCTGAATGTCGGCCAGTTCCTGCTGAACTGGCAGATATTTGGACCATATGTACCCAGCTTCCAATGAACAGAAGTCACAACAAACCGTACAAAGATGCATAGAAAGCATTGGTGTTAACATATCCTAAACCATGTTCTAGTGTATTACTACTGTTCATCTCTTGTGTTTAGCAAGAAATAACTGATGTCTGCTACTTTTCATTTTTTGTATTTCGTATGAAGTCCATTGCAAAATTACCAATCTAAAACATTTATACCATAGCCATGTATATCATTTGTGAAACATTGACTACAGTTTAATGAACAAAATCTATCCTTTTTATTCTAGAGAAAAGGTAAATAGCACCACAAGAGGTAATCAGTATGCGTCACCTGGGAACGAATCCAGTAACCAGAGCTTTACAGAGTTGATTGCTGAGTTGCGCACCCTTCAGGTAAATAGAATTAAAGGCAATTTGTATTCCATTTTATTTCTTCATTTTATTTTTTGGAATGACATAAAAATACTCATCTGACTAACAATAGTCAATAGATGCAGTACATACCATGATATAAGGGGTTCAACATATATTTTTTTCACTGCTATTTTTTCCCAAGCTCTTGTTCTCTACAATATTTTACACTCATCTTATCTTCAGTACATTTTCACCCAACTTAATTTTGAAACAGATAGTAGATTGCAGTTTTCTGAAATGGCATTTCTTTGTTGCTAATTTCTAACTGCAATACACTGTAATAAAAATGTACCTTGTAGAAGTATGAAGTGGTAGCTGGAAGCGAATGTGCTTAGATTGAAGTAGCAGCATCATTATCTCATTGGGACACTGGATCTACAACAAACACCCAAAAAACTTCATCAAAATACATGGGACATGTGTAGTTATTCCTATCCTTCTGCCACTCTGCTGCTTCCCCCCTCTCACATGCCAGCAATTCCTCCCTTTTAAAATGACAGTCCGGTTTTGTTATGTAAATACAGCAACAGTAATAGCTGCTGCCAAATGACTGTCTAATATTGTTTAAAAATGCTGTTTAGACTTCATATAGAGAGATACAAAGTAAAAATTTTTTGTGTGTGTGTGTATGTATATATCAAAAAAGCAGCGCTAATCAATATTGAAAATTCATTTAAAAAAAAGTTCAAATGCCTAAATAAATCATCTAATCATTATAAAGTGCATAAAAGGTTAAAGTGCAAGTCCAAAGTGCAAATATTAGAATAAGTGCAAAAAGTCCATACTGAACATAAATAGGTCCAATATTAAAGTGCTGAAAGAAAAGCAATCCATGAATGTGCAACAAATCACTTTTCATATGTAAAGTGATGTAATGAATTCCAACACCAGGTACACCCTGTTGTTTCTCACCTCTTACCAGAAATGGTGGACCATCATATTGTAAATGGTCAAATACGCTCATAAAACTCCTCCACAGGTACCATCAACTCAACACGGAAGCAACAATCTATGAACAGTAAGAGATTAAAATAAAACACTTCCATGGTGAAGTAAGTAAAAAAGAGGGTTTTGTACCATTTATTGGGTCTCCAAAATTAACAAGCAACTTTCAGCATTGCTTATTCCAAAGACAAAAACCATAAAAGTAGCAGGCTGATAGCTCACAAATGATGGGAAAACGCCGATCACCGGCAGCATAGAACATCATGATGTCACGTGCAAGCCACATGTCGGTAACAACCTATGCAATCCATACATACAAATAAACCAAAACAAATAAGTTCAGGAATTAAGTTATGTGTAATAACATAGAAGGACACAGGGAAAAGGTATTGAACACTTGAAGAAAGGGAGGTGAAAAAAGGCATGGAAAGCCAAGACACCAGCTGAAATCTATTCGTAATTAGAAAGCAATCCTGCCCCTTGTCAGTGCAAATTAATATCATCTGGTTCAGTGTCAACTGATGGCCTGTAAAAAGGTGTCTCATTACCAAGGTGTCACACAAGGAACATCTCATGATGGGTAAAAGCAAAGAGCTCTCTCAAGGCCTTTGCATCCTTATTGCTGCAAAACATACTGATGGTATTGGTTACAGAAAGATTTCTAACCATCTGAATGTTCCATTGAGCACTGTTGGGACCATAATCTGGAAAGAACATAATTTCCTCGCAAGATTTCTGACAGACGAGTGAAAAGAATTATCAGCGGTGTCGTCCAAGAGCCAAGGACCACTTGTTGAGAGCGTCAGAAAGACCTGGAATTAGCAAGTACAATTGTTTCAAAGAAAACAATAAATAATGCACTCAATCGCCATGGCCTGTATGCACACTCACTTCGCAAGACTCCATTACTGAAAAAAAAAATCATGTTGAAGCTCGTTTAAAGTTCCTGCACAACATTTAGCCAAGCCTGTGAAATACTGGGGAGAATATAGTCTGGTCAGATGATGAGACCAAAATGGAACTCTTTGGATGCAATAATACACACCATGTTTGGAGGTCAAATGACAATGCACATCACCCTAAAAAACACCATACCTACAGTAATGTTTGGAGGTGGGAACATCATGGCGTGGGGCTGTTTTTCAGCATATGGTTCTGGCAAATTTCATTACTTTGAAGGAAGGATGAATGGAAAAATGTACCAAGACATTCTTGATAAAAAAATCTGCTGCCATTTACCCAGATGAAGATTTAAACGAGGGTGGACAGCAAGACAATGATCCCAAACACAAAGCCAAGCAAACTGTCAGTTGGTTTCAAGGAAAGGAAATAAAAGCTGCTAGAATGGCCCAGTCAATCACCGGACTTGAATCCAATAGGAAATCTGTGGAAAGAAATTAAGATCAAAGGAACCTTCAAGATTTGAATACTGTGTGGAAGAATGGGCCAAAATCACACCTGAGCAATGCATGAGACTAGTTTCTCCATGTAGGAGGCGTCTTGAAGCTGTCATTACCAACAAAGGAATTTGTACGAAATATTAAATAAATTTCAGTTAGGGTGTTAAGTACTTTTTTCCCTGTGTCACTCCATTTCATTACACATAACTTTATTTCTAAACTTATTTGTTTTGGTTTCTGTGTATGTATGGCTTGCATGGGTTGTTAATAGCATGTCAGTAGCACCCTCAGAAATATTTTTGGTGACGTGTTCAATACTTGTTTTACCCAGTGTGTGGGGGGTGTGTGGTGGTATGTATGTGTGTGTGTGTGTGTGTGTGTGTATATGTATATGTATGTGTGTGTGTGTGTATGTGTGTGTGTGTGTGTGTATGTATATATATATATATATATATATATATATATATGTGTATATATATATATATATATATATATATATATATATATATAAAATTATTTTATTTTTAATTAAAATTGCTTCCTACTTAAGGCTCTGTTCATTGTAATAACACATGCAAAATCGCATGCTTCCTTGTAACACACAAAAATTTGCACCTTATGTGCGCATTTCCCGCCCATAGGTCAGTCCATTTAAATAGGCTGCCCTAACACATCACTTGGGAATGCACAAAAAAGCACACACTCAGTCACACCTCCTGGTGGGAGTGGAGCTTAACCTCTTATTAACCCCTTACTTACACTAATCAGCTGTAATAAACTCTTCCTTCCTCTTCTCCCCTTAAAATTGTATTAAAGTATCAGCCGATTTTTTAATTAACACATTGAGCAAAATAAAATAAACATTCCCTATAAAATTCTTAACCCAGTTTCCAGTGCTGCTGGCTCCTGTTATATCAGTGCTTCTTCCCTTAACTTCCAGTCTTCACAGTAAAGATTCAATAGTGCGCAGTGCATAAAATCATTTTTGGTAGGCCAAAAGCCTTGTTTGTCCTAAGAAAAGGAAAAAAAAAAAAAAAAAGGATATGAGTCCTACATTATCACCTTTAATAAAGACAAAGTTAATTCAATAGGCCTAGTGAGAAGTTAATCAGCAACCCGGACTAGCCAAATTTCAGTCCGTGTTCACAGTCGTCATTAGATCATCTTGTCAAAACAGACACACTGGACAACTTTTGTAGATTAGTGGATGCAATCATTGATTAATGTATTTTGAGTGACAGGAGCTGCTGTCAGAATACAATGTCCTGGCCAGCAAGATTCCTCCATCTAGCTTGCTTGTGGGTTTTTTTTTTTTTTTTTTTTTTTTTTTTGTCACTGTGTCGCTGTCTTTACCCTAACTATCCAAACCAAAATAAAAGATTTGTCTGTGACTGGGTTTTAGGTATCAAACCATATAAGTTTATTTTTGCCAAACATGATAATAAAATAATTGTTAAATACATTGGTGCTTAATTATTTTCTGTTTCTGGCTTTTTGTGCTGTTGCAAAGAAAAAAGAGGCCAGCTTGCTTGATGATATAGCCAGGTGGGAAACAGGAGAAACAGGCTTTGGAAGTGGATTTGGTGCAGTTGAGGAAAGAACGTGATTTTCTTAAAACCCAGGTCTCCAACACCTCAGGTACAGCAAATCATTTGTGATATACGTTTTTCCTGAAATTGGTTCATAGTTTATTTCCCTGGCTGTCTTTTTCTACACATGGTTTGAATGTGCAGCACGGAATGACCCATTTATTTTCCAATACTTTAAAAAAAACATTTGACCACCAAATTTGAATGTGTATAGATAAAGATAAAAATCTATTAAAAATTCACAACACCAATGTGTTTAATTTAAAGGTTTGAACTGAAATGAAAAAAGGACACTGGTGGCATGGAAATTAGTTGGAATTGTATTGTTTAAAGTATATATCTGTCCAATGTATTTTTCCCCCTAGTTTTTGGAGATTGGGAACGTGTTAGTGACTTTTAGTTAGTGTGGAACAGTACTCTCAAAACATGTCTTGGTTACATGTCAACAAAAAAGAAGAAAGAAGAAGAAATCTTCAGAAAGCAATACAAACCGTTATTTTAAGTTTGGTATAGGAAGGCTAAAACACATAGTATACATAAAGGATAAAGGTTCTCTGTGCTCTATACCCACATCCTCAAATACATGTAAAACGGAAACAATGGAATTTTTCTGGGTTTCCAGTGTTTACAAAATGAAGTTCACAGATAATATTTCAATTCATCATCCACATGTTCTCAACGCGTTTCAAATATCTTCATCAGGAGAACGTGAGTATTATTTAAAAATACAACATGCCATTATGAATGCTATAATACTAAAATAAAAACAGATGAGAGCAATGTTCAATAAAAGCCTCATTACCCATATAGAAAAATCCAGTAGTGAAAAATCCATACAGTTTGTTGGAGTGAAAATTCTCAAATCCAGAAGAGGACAACTGAGGGACATGAAGATAGTAGTCCAAAAGGTGTGATAGATCTCTGCAAATAGGGACCCAAGTAAATAGGGGAACATATATACATACAAGTGTGTACCTATATGTAGATGCACACATGCAAATGCACAAAAATCCCAGAGGCAGTGGGGTAGCAATTACAGAAGTATTTTAATCCTCTGTGAGCAAAGGCAATAAAATCAATAGAAAGTTCATGGATGCATATATGCGCGATGCCCATATGTGGACGCATAAATAAATAAATTGGTGTAGCGCTAATCTATATAACCCATATGAATAAACATACATACAAAATACATATAGAATATAATAAGATATTTATATAACAAATATAGTGATGTATCCAAAGTGATCTGATCCTCTAGGGATCTATTGTGATACACGTACACGTGACACAGAAACGTGACATAACAAATTGGTCCCAATTGGATCCAATGTAGTGAAAAATAACAAAATAATACAAACAAAAAAACTCCAAATCCCTAATTGGGATCAATGAATCAATATAAATAGACCTAGTGCAACAAACAGCGAATCCCTGAATCAAAGGGATAATCCACCTAAATAAAGTGATACGTGCTTAAATACCCCAAATAAACACATAAATATAAAAAAACACTTTATCAAAAACACACATAAATTTCAACGCTCCAATCTGACGTATATTTCACTATACAGTACTTTGTATTCAAATATAAATAAATAAGAACAAAAAAAAAAATTTTAAAGTCCAAAATAGTGCAAATCAGCAAAAGTGATCCAATGAATCAAAACCATGCAGGTGATGCGGTGAATGTGCGTTCAAGCCAATGGTATAAATCCTTAAATGGCTAGATTGCCCCCTCACCTCCTTACCGAGACCCACTGGGCCTGCGCGCCTTTAGGATCACACAAGGATCCTTCACGGGCAGTAACTCCTTAGTGGATGGTATCCATAGGAAATCCCCATCAATGGTGGCACTGAAACATCACAGGTCCCCTCCAGATATATGTACAGCAATATAGTTCACTCTCTCATAAAGATCTGTCAGGGTTGAAAATCGCCAGCTTCACACTAGGTGAAGAAACCTTCTGTGTACAGTGGTACACTTTCCTGGAGGTCCACTTTCTAGCCCTGCCCCGTGTCCGGCGTCTACCCCGATCCGTGTCCCACGGGAGGCACCTGGGCCGCAGCCGCTTCCTGGTTCAGTGACAGATTTTAACACTTTCTCCAAAAAAATAAAAAAGGGACTTTTTTTTTTGACCACAGCTACGCTTTAAAAAAGTAACCAAGATAGTTTTATAGATTGGTCCGTTGATAAGAAAAATTTGAAAGCAATTTATCAACACTCTAAACACAAACAGGAACAGAACGCATACAGTAATTTAAGTTTTTTAAAGGAAAAAACATTATTTTACATCTTGATTAGTGGAGAGAGATTAGACCCCCTGTCAGTTTTTATTGCTGTCTGTCCCCCTGTTGGGGAGATTCACCCTCTTTTATTTTTCCTGCTTATTATCATCGAAAGTAAAAGAAAACCCCAAATTTTGGGTTCTCCCCAGAAAATTAATGCAAGGGAAATTTCCTAATGGGGGCACTGATTCGGGGATTCACTGTTTGTTACACTAGGTCTATTATATTGATATTTATATTGATTCATTGATCCCAATTAGGGATTTGGAGTTTGTTTGTATCATTTTGTTATTTTTCACTACATTGGGTCCAATTGGGACCAATTTTGTTATTTTGCGTTTCTGTGTCACGTGTACATGTCACAATAGATCCCTAGAGGATCAGATCACTTTGGGTACATCACTATATTTGTTATATAAATATCTTATTTATATTCTATATGTATTTTGTATGTATGTTTACTCATATGGGTTATATGGATTAGCGCTACACCAATTTATTTATTTATGCGTCCACATATGGGCATCGCGCATATGTGCATCCATGTACTTTCTATTGATTTTATTGCCTTTGCTCACTTGGTTCAGTAGGGTCTATTGAAGCCCCATGCCCCCAGGTTTTGGTGTGCATTTTGTGAGTTGCTTGTGTAAGGAGAGAGACTCTGCTTGTTAGAGAAAGTAACTAGTGGTAGGGAAAGGCTTTTGATGAAGAGGGACAGGCTAGGGACTCTTTATCCTGGAAGGAACCTCCCTTCTTGGGACCGGATCAGCCAGGCTGCACTTCACCCTCTGAAACAAACACTGTTGGCACCTCTGCACACTTGACGGCAGGCCGCAGGATATGTTCCTTGCACCAAGTGTGGAAGGACTGGGCTCCAGTATTGCTCTGCTTGGGTAGGGCTTTGCCCTGATACCAAAGTTTAATGGCTTTAACATCTTCTTGGCAGAATGGGAGGAGAGGCTGAAAAGTGCCGAGCGCCTGTACCAGATCCTAGCCAGGCTAGTAGTGGAGCCAGCTATTAACACTTTAGAGAAGTTTGCTCGGGAGGTGATGATGTTGCTGCCAGAGGAGGAACAGGCCACTGTGGAGCAGATTATGTCACATCTGGAGGGCCTCATTGAGGAAAATATACAGCTGCTGGAGCTATGCAAGACCTCTGGAGGCACCTAGAGAAGTGAGACTTGTGCGGCTGTGCTACATTAACTGGCTGCCTTACATATTGAGGGATCAATTCATCGCAGGCCTGAAGCCTGGCCCAGCCCAAAGGGCATTACATGAGAAGGTTAAAGCACAACTTACAACAACTTTCTGAGAGGCGGTTGTGGATGCGGTTGCCCAAGAGCAAGAAGAGGCAAACCTAACTGAAGCAGTGACCAAAAAGTATGAATCGATATACCACAAGGAAAGAGGCCTTGGCACCTTCACCACTGTCAGTCCTGCAATCTGCATTGAGGGAATTGGCTCAAGATGTAGCCACTTTAAAGCAAGACAGAGCCTCTGGCAAAATGGACTATCCCCAACCCCGAAGGGGTGAGAACCCACTGCGCAGAGACCCCAAGGAAGATGACAAATACTAGCGGTGCAGCTGCTATGGACATGTTTCCAGGAACTGTGGGTGGTCTGAATCCAAAAATTTCTTCAGACTAAATTTCCTGTGGCAGAGGGACAACCCCTAGGACTGCCTCATCATAGTCCCAGTAGGCCGGAAGCTATGGTCGCCCCCAGCCCAGTGGTATCCACCCCGGTCCATGGACAGGAAATTCCATGTTTTATTCACAGGTTCAGAAGTCACTGTTGTGGAATATGACTTCTAAGTACAAAGATTATGTGCATGGGAACAGGTAGATCCCTGCTGGCTTTCCGTCCGAGCAGCCAATAACCTGCCTATCCTGGTGGAACGCATTAAGTGGCTGAAGATCCAAATTGAAGACCAGGTGATGGAGTAGTGGTGATTTGCAACCATGTAAACCTGGAAGTACCTGTTGTATTGGGCATGAATGTGTTGAATGATCTGGACTTACCCCAACTGCTAGCCAAATATGAATGCTCAGGCAGATGAGCCGATAGTCTGGCTTGCGAGCAGTGTGGCTCAAAGTGCTCCAGGTTTTTGAGTCCCAACGGAAGGCAGTAATGAAACAACCGGAACAGGTAGGGGTAGTACGCACGCGCCCTAAACAGAAGTTTTGCTGCTTTGTATCTCTGCACAGCAAGTAAAACCGCACACCGCATACAACGTAAAACATGCACAGCAGACTGTTAACCCTTTGATCGTTCCATATGTTAACCTCTTCCTGCCCAGTGTCATTAGTACAGTGTCCATGCTTTTTATTAGCACTGATCACTGTATTAGTGTCACTGGGGATGTCCGTTCCCACCCAGTGTCAGAATGCTTGCCACAGTCCCGCCACAAGTCGTTGATCGCAGCCATAAAAAAATAAAATAAAAATTCCAGTGTATATATACCACCATTTGTAGACACTATAACTTTCACGTAAACCAATTAATATACACTTTTTGAGATCTTTTTAGCAATGTAGCACAATACATTTTGGCCTTAATTTATGAAGAAATTTTATTTAAAAATGTTTGTTTATTGGATATGTTTTATAGCAAAAAGTCTAAAAAATATTATTTTATTTTTTTTTTCCAAAATTGTCGGCCTTTTTTTGTTTATAGCGCAAGAACTAACAAACACAGAGGGGATCAAATACCACTGAAAGAAAGCTCTATTTGTGGGGGAAAAAAATGACTTAAATTTAATTTATGTAGAGCATTGCATGACCACGCAATGGTCAATTTTCAATTAAAGTAATGCAGCACCATATCGCAAAAAATGGCCTGGTCAGGAAGGGGGGTAAATCTAGAGGGCAAGTGGTTAAAGCATATCTAAACCCAACAATAACATTTTCCAGTTAGCCAGTTCAAGAGAAGTTGACCATTAGATCAACTTTTCTGGAATAGGAACTGCCATTGATGGATCAGAATTCTGGCAATGCTTGTTGAATTGTCCAAATTGCGATCCTTATATAACCAGCTTTAGAGTACTGTAAAGGCAGAGAGTACAAGAAGTTATCAGCTAACTGAATTTCTGGCAGTAATATTTTTTTGTTTATCAAACAATTGTATATGTAACACATCAAAATGAAGCAATTAAGAAAAAATCATTCATTATGGTTTACATACACTTTAACCACTAGCCTAGAGGGCACTCATACCCCCTTCCTGCCCAGGCCAATTTCCAGCTTTCAGCGCTGTCACAATTTGAATGACAATTGCGCGGCCATGCAACACTGTTCCCATATAAAGTTTTTATCATTTTTTTGTGACAGAGCTTTATTTTGGTGGTATTTAATCACCTCTGGGTTTTTTATTTTTTCTTAAACAAACCAAAAACCACTGAAAATTGTGAAAAAAATGTTTTTCTTAGTTTTTGTTATAAAATTTTGTAAATAAGTGATTTTTCTCCTTCACTGATGTGCACTAATGAGGCTGCAGTGATGGGCACTGATAGGTGGCACTGATGGAGGCACTGGAAGGTGGCACTGATGGGCATTGACAGGCATCACTGATGGGCACTGAAAGGTAGCACTCATATACAGTATGGCACTGATAAGCGGCACTGACTGGCACTGTTAGGCGGCACTGGTGCACACTGATAGGCAGCACTGACTGGCACTGATAGGTGGCACTGGCAGCACTGATAGGTGGCACTGACTGGCATTGATAGGTGGCACTGATGGGTGACACTGAAAGGCAGCTCAGATGGGCACTGGTGGGCACGGAAATGTTGTAGTGATGGGCACTGGCAGGTGGCATGGATGAGCACTGACAGGTGGCACTGCTGGGGCTACACAGATCATCAGTGCTCTGATGATCTGTGTACATGTCCCCTCTGAGGAATGCCGATTACCGGCTCTCCTCTCCTCTGTCAGCGTGACAGCTCGTGAGGAGAGAAATGCCGATAACCAGCATTTCCCTGTTTACATGTGATCAGCTGTGATTGGGCACAGCTGATCACATGACCGAGCCTACATCTTCGGCTCTTTCCGAGGGACACAGCGCAGCGCTGATCGCCACGCTGTGCACTCCCGGAGCTGCGCATTGCATGGTTAGAATGGGAGGACATCATATGACGTCATGACGTCCTCCCAGAATGAGAGAACGCCTTGCGTCCGTCATTTTACTATATGGCGGGCGGGATGCGGTTAAAGTGGTTCTAAAGGCTTCAGGGGAACCCGAGAATAGGAGGACTGGGGCTGCTCTGTGCAAAACCAATGCACAGAGCAGGTTGATATGACAGGTTTTGTTTTTTGTTTTTTTTAAATTGAAACCTTTAGTATCACTTTAAGTTGTATTTATATCAGCAACTGCAAGCTTACCAATAGTATCAAGTACTTAAAATATCTTGTCTATTTATAGATGAGAAATCTTATGAAATGAAGATTATGGAGGAGAGCTATAAGCAGGAAATAAGCCGACTGAATAAAAGACTCCAGTGGTTTGCAGAGAACCAAGAGATCTTGGATAAAGATGCTGCAAGGCTTAGAGATGCTTATGAACAAATAGAAAAGCTAAAGATACAGGTATGTTCTATGACACCAAATCTGCAGTTTGCAAAACTTATAACAAATGTGAAAGTTATCATCTTAAAATATTTCCAAGGTTGAGAAGCTAACACTGAATGCTGGAAATCAGTCTGTGCAGCAACAGCAACGACAAAAGGACAGATCTGCTGATGCAAAAAGGATTCAAGATCTTGAGCGCCAGGTGAGATTTAAATAGTGATTTGTAAACATGTTTCATTTTTGTTTCATTAATAAGAGTTGATGTTAAGAAGTATCCTCTGCTCCTATATCTACTGTGCTCAGCAATAATGAGTACACCCTAACAGATTTGTCAGAAAACCTTTACTTTCCTTTAAGAATCAACATTTTCTGTTGCACACTATACTACAAAATACTCCCACAAATGCGGGCTATTGAGTGCAAATAAGATTTGTTAATTTGCACACACAAAAAAGTATTTTTCCTAACAAATTCATTCAAGACCAAGATGCAAAAATGAATACACCAATGAAAGTCTTAGAATCAAAGCTAAATTTTAGACCACAAAATCCTAATGAACAAGAATTCAACTACAGGTGAGTCTAATTATTTATTAAATAGGTGTCCAGCTGACAGTTGATTATAAAAGGGCATTCCTTTACAAAGAAAACCCATTCCCATTTCATGCTGTCAGCAATGGCAACACATGGAAGAGAAAAGGCCTAAGAAAGAAAATAATTTCTTTACACAAGAAAGGTGAAGGCTTTACCTATCAGTCATAATGCTGTAGCAAAAGTGATACAAAAATTTAACAAAGATGGAACTGCAACCATCTCACAGAGACAGCCAGGCCATTTATGGAAGTAAACACCTATATTCACAGTCTCTGCTACCCGATTGAGCCTGTCACACCTGCACCAGACTGTGGGCCAGTGTGATCACCTCCAAGGCGACCACACCCCCTCCTGAGTCCTGCCCAATCACTGCAAGCCTCGATTTGCCAATAGAGCTGCTTGATCAGCTACTGGGGACCAGAAGCTGGAGGAGGGATCTGTGTGCCGCAAGTTATGTTTTTTACCCGCACCGGCAGCATCTATATTGGCACCATCTGCACTTCAAGCAGTTCAGCTGTCCGTGATAGACCTTCATTTCCGGGACTCCTTGGGGCAGCTGTCAAAGAAAAAAAACCTCACAGACTGATGCCCCTGCCTACATACCTACAGTGCCTATTGGGAAATCCGGCCCTGATGCATGCATCACTGCATGTCCATCCATTCATACACGACATTTGTAAAATCAAATACTTTTTCTTAATCTTGCTTTTATTTTCTTCCGGCTTTCCTGAGCCACTCCATCCAGGAAAATCTTATTTTCTCTCGCATATGCGTCATACAAGAGCTGGAATAGCCTGTTATTGCTTAATAGCAAGCCGCCCCAGATCATGCGCCGAGCATGTGCTATACATAATCTAGCATGGATTATTGTTCAATAGTCACCCTGATGTGATGCAGCGCATAGGTGATATCAGACACAATGAAGAATATAGCCACCTGTGATGTCATCTTTAGGAAATGGTAGCGTGGGATACGAGGAGTGGGAAAAGCTGCTCAAATCATGTGGCGATACAACAAAAGAGGGGGCAAATTTTTATCATTGAGACAAGCAATTGGGTTAAATGATGCTAGCCATCAGACTAACTACATCTGGCATCAGGAAAAAAATACTGCAGAGCAGATCTGTGGATTGAAGTGTGAGTGTTACAGTAAAACGAAATTATCATCATTTCATCTTTTTAACCACTTCATGTCCAGACACTTTTACCCCCTTCCTGTCCAGGCCAATTTTTATCTTTCAGTGCTATCACACTTTGACACTTACGCGGTCATGCAACACTGTACCCATATGCATTTTTTAGCATTTTTTTTACACCGATAAAACTTTATTTTGGTGGTATTTATTCACCACTGGGATTTTTTATTTTTTTTGCTATATAAATGAAAAAGTCCAAAAATTTAGAAGAAAAGTGTTTCCAAAATGTATTCCGTTATCTTTTTAGTAAAACAAAAAATAACCCAAATTGGTTTATAACCAAAAACTATAATTTTTCAAAAACAGTTTTTACATTTTCATTTAATTTTTTTATATTTTCTTTTTTAACATACTGTCGTCCTAGCAGTACAGTATCACCATAGTGGCACTGTACTTCTTGTGTTTTTTTTTTTTTTTTTAACACTGATTGCTTTTACACCCATAAAGGCTGCAAAAGCAATAATTTCTCCTTCTCTCTGGCTTCATTCTTGCATCCATTGAGAAATACTTTGCGCGCTGTGATTGGTCACGGCTTGTCAAATGGTACAAGACTGTTGTGAATAGCCTTGTACCATGTGATCTCTGATCATTCACAGATTTCACACGTAGTAAGCAATGATGTCAAGTGACATCTTGCTTCCTACTATTCATGTGATCACTGATTGGTCAATCAGTGATCCCATGATCGGGACCTCACACAGAGGTCCCGTACAGCGATCGGTGTTCCGCTGTGTCCAGTGGGCACCAGATCATGGTGCTGCGCGCTCCCATGGAGTGCGCACAAGCAGGGAAGTGGGGAGGACGTTTATAAATGGCCACCTGCCCCTGCACTGCTCCCGTCTGGCCGTTTATATACATGGGCCAGACGGGAAGTGGTTAATGGGCTGTATATTTTTATCATTATTTTATTATTGTTTAGAGTTCTGCTTCAAAGAAAACAAACTATAAGACCTTGCACACTTTTTTGTTCCATCTGGAATGTACTTAGCAAATTTAAAAGCAGTGGTTAGTTAGCATTAATTTGACTCTTCAATGCTTGCAGTAAAAAAAAATAAAATTATGATTTTTATATTCTTCCATTCACAGTGCAATTTTGATGAATATTTTAGATCTATTTTGCCCATAATGCTCCATGTATATTCAAAAGTTTGCCTCATGTTTTTTTTTATCCTCCATTCTGTACAGACACTGCACAGTACAACGTCTCTTACCTGTATGTTGAGTGCTACCTTCCTTCTGGTATTAGTCATGCCCCTCTTCAGTAAAGAATATAGCAATTCTCTTAGATCCTCGGGAGTCCCTTATGTGTATCCCCTAATTCATTCATTCATTCATTTCTTGTTATTCTAACTTAGTGGTTCTAAAGAAAAACTTTTTTTTTTACCCCAGAAAAAGAGCTTTGGAGCAGGTAAGTATAAAATGTTTATTATTTTAATTAAAAGAATCTAGCTTTACAACAGCCTTAAGACCTAAAGTATATGTAAACTCTGACCTTGTAAAACAAACCATTCACTTAAACATAGAAATGAAATACTTGCTTACCATATTTTGTTGCTCAATAAAATAAAACAAATAAAGAAATTAAAGGCAAAACATTTGTATATACATCTAAAAAAATTCTAAACACCTTTTTTTCTTTTATATAAGTGATCATGTTCTCTCTGTTCGCAGCTGCTTAGGAAACTGGGGGAGGAGAAACAGCAATACACGGATCTTCCCAGTGAATGGCCATTGGAGGAGTACAGCCAGAAAACTGACCACACTGTGCTCTCCTGCCTAGTGTGGTCATTTTGTAATAGAAAAGCAGAGGGATTGAGAGGAACACCAGGGATTTCACACAAAGGAAGCAATACAAAGTGAACAGTATATTTTTTTTTTTAAAGAACATGGTACAGCAGGCACATATCAGGAATATGAAATGTTGGGTTTACATACTCACTATTATCACTTACTTACATATAAGTGATTTACAGGTTCTATTAAGTATAATATTGCTGTTAAAGTTAGATCTCTGGTAGCAGATCAATGACCTGTCACTGGCATAAGACTATGATGACATTATAATTTCAAATGCATAAATTGCTTGTGCAGATTGAATCCATGAGAGAGTAAATTTAGAGAGGAACTGTAATCCGCTGCGAAAAAGCTTTTCTTTTGGATAATAAGACACTTTAACACTTACATTCTGTGACAATAGAATACCTTATAAAACAGGTGACAAGACTGCATAACCATTGAAAATGAAATTTAAAGGGTAAGTATGCTTTCCCATCTCTCTACCAAGTATTCCCTGCAACTTATCTTTATTGTACAGTACAAGATGCAGGAATCGATTCATTGACCATGGGTTGTGAACTGATATCTTCAGGTGATTGGACACTGGCAAAAGCTTTGCTGGGTGTGCTCCCTTGTGTCGACATTTGCACCTACCCACTTCCTTAGGTGATGGATGTCTATTATCCTTTCACAAGATTTCTCTAGCTCCTTTGACTGACACTTCTATTAAGATTTGACTGCTTAGTGCCTTCGTGGCTTATTAGTTTCTGGATCAGTGACCCTTGATCACACTTTGGTAACCATACCCAGACCCACAGTCTCAAGACTAGCTTGTAATGTTTGTTTCAGGCACTGGATTCCACATTTTGGCACTCACCTTGGCACATGGTGCAACAGATGTACCTGTAGTTAGCCACAGCATTCTACACAGATCCAGGGCCATAGTCCATCCCTGTCGCACCCAGACTCTGAGGGGATGCCCAATATGACAGGCAGGATCGGCAATACGATAAGGTGAGAGAGGGTTTCCCTGTGCATGCTGCTTCCTGGCATAGATAACTTGATGGAAATGTAGTATACACTACATCCTTATTCTACAAGACATACCGAAGTGCTATGCAAAGTGATTTATAGGGCACAGGTGTAAGGGGACTTGCACTTTTAGTGCTCTATAGTTGGTAAAGTTGAATAAAGACACCAGTTCAACTTTTTTTTAGTGTGTGAGTGTTCTTGTAAAAAAACATTGCCCATATCCCTGTATACTGTGTTCGGTTAGATACCCATCCAAGAGTTCTCTTTTTTTTTTTTTTTTTTGAAACTATCAATACTTCCTGCTGATACCACCAATTGTGGAAGTGAGTTCCACATCCTTATTGCCCTGACAGTGAGAAACCCCTCGGTAGTTTAAGGTTAAACCACTTCTCCAATTTCATTGAGTGGACTCGTGTTTTCTTACACTCCCACAGACAGAATAGTTTATTACCTATGCTAGAATCTCCATTGAGTATTTGTGTATCACTATCATATCTCCTCTCAAGCGTCTTTTCTCCAAGGAGATTAAGTTTGTTTGCATCGGTTCCTCGTAACTGAGGTTCTCCAGTCCCCTTATTAACTTAGTTGCCCTTCTCTGGACTCTCT